ATAGAAACGGAGGAGGTATTTGCTACTCTTTGAAAATTAAAGAATTTTTAACAATTTTCTTTTAATAGATTCATAATGTGGGGCTGAAGGGGTGATAGGAATTTCCACACATTTTTTCCATTTCATTGTCAAAACAATTGAACTTTAATAACTACTGCCAAAATATAATATTTTTGTTATTATAGCCCTTTTCAGTTATGCTTTCTTTTATGCTCTTTACTTTAGAATTGTGGACAATTCCAAATTATTTTAAATTTTATTTTTATTTTATTTTTATTTGTTATATGTTAGGTCAGAGGTCCCCAACCTTTTGGACATCAGGGACTGGTTACCTGCAGAGATTTTTTTCCCGTGAACCGGAAGGGTTGTGGTTTTCTGTGCTGTCTGCTTCCTATGAATGGGGCTTTCCTTGTTTGTGCAGACCGGTTGCTGGCATGCCACGGCGTGGTACTGGTCCATGGACCGGGGTTTGGGGACTCCTATGTTAGGTGAAAACAGTTATTAAAATAAAAATATTATTAAAAGTATTTCAGCATTATCACAACAAATTGTGGTTACAAGAAGTAGTGTATAACTTAATTGCAGTCATTGTCCTATTCTATTTGATATAAAAATAAGAGGCAAGATTTTTGGAGTTATATAACCCTAAAATTAAGGTATTTTTTTTAATCTAAAGCTGAGGTAACTATAAGTAATTTTGTTAGTCTTCTAGAGATGTAAAAATTCTAATTCAAATATTGAAAAAGAAAATCATCCACAGGATAGGATAACCTCTGTTAACAATTGGCCAATTGTGGCTCATGCTTGTAATAGTCTCATTGACAACAGAGTTTAAAACAAGAAGCCATACTGGCATACTTCTTCTGGATTCTACTCTTTGGAAAGAGGAAAAAATGTCAGAAGGGATCATGATGCCAAGGAATCACTGGAACAATAAATTTTAATCCAAACGTTCAGTAGAGAAGTATGGAGTTCCGGATCCAGTATGGAGGTATAGACTCCAGCAGAATCATCCCAATTTCCCATTTTAAATGCAGCAAGAAATCAAAATAGCACTGTTAGTAATCTAAACTGGATAGTGGGGCTTTAAGGTATTACAAGCTTTAAGGTAAGATGTATAATATTGGGATTTAGCTTTAAAGAGTTTTATGATGACAAGTAGGTATTTATATCATTTAGGGCAGGAGTCCCCAACCCCTGGTCTATGGACTGACACCGGGCCACGCCATATCAGCAACCAGACCATGCAAACAAGTGAAGCCCCATCTGCTGGATACAGGCAGCACACAAAACCATGCCCCTTCTGGTCCGTGGAAAAATCTTTCTCCACAGAACCGGTCCCTGGTGCCCAAAAGCCTGGGGGCTAAGTTTTTTTAGTTTTTTAAAGTATGGTTTTAACACTGTTGTAGTCCTTATTATAATGGATTTAATGTGTTCATTATAGATTTTAGATGATTGAAATATTATACAAGATGTTTGAAGGATGAAACCTGGTGTGTATGTTGCTCATTTATCTATCATCAATGTTTATGAATCTAGGACCCTTTTTTAAAGAAACACAATTTTGAAAAGTACAGGTACTCCTTAACTTACAACAGTTTGTTTAATGACCGTTCAAAGTTACAACATATGACTGTTTTCATACTTATGACCATTGAAGCATCCCCATGGTAACATGATCAAAATTCAAACACTTGGCACTGCTCATATTTATGACAGTTGCACTGAGATCCTTTTTTGCGACTTTCTGGCAAGCAAAGTCAATAGGGATGCCAGATTCACTTAACAACCTTGTTACTAAACAGTTGCAGTGATTCACTTAACAGTTGTGGCAAGAAAGATCATAAAATTGGCAAAACTCACTTAACAAATGTTTCACTTAACAGAAATTTTGGGCTTAATTGTGGTCCTACGTTAAGGACTACTTGTAGTTTATTATAAGCCTTTCTTGCAATACGTAACTAGGGCATTTTAAAAAAAAGAATAGCCACACAATCAAGATAAAGAACCACATTCTAACTTTTGTACTGATAATTTAGGGAGATAGAATTCTGTTTTAAGTTAGGTTGGTGACAACTGACTTCAAATAAAACATAAAGAGGACAGAATACATCCCTATTCTGTTCTTCTAAACTGCCATATTAGGAAAAATTGTCATCACTAGCACATTTAATTTGTATAATAGGAAAAAAGATAAATACTAAATACTGTAATTTAGTATTATATAATGGTATGTGAGAATGAGCTTCAGGAATGAGAGGAAGGGATACTGCTTAGGAATTGATCTGAGGACAGGGGGTGAGCCTCCAGAGCAAGAAACTTAGGAACTAGTTGATCAGGCAGTTAAAAGTGGCAGCTGGAGATTTGTACCTTCAGTTTGGAAGATGCTGTTAATGTAGCCTTACAATAAAATAAGATTAGCATATCAAGTTGTGTTTCCTATCTGGTTTACCTAGGAGGGCTAAAATATTTTTACTGAAAATATTCTCGCAAAAATTAATTAACTTTTTGTAATTAATGAGAAACTTATGGAACTGGCAAAAATACACAAAAATCTCCAAACTACCATTTTTATAGCATATTGGAACTAGGATACTAATCAAGGAAATACTTCTCTTGGGATTATGTTTCATATCCATATGGCATCTACCAGTGGAATATAAAAACTGAAAATTAAATTATTGTTGTGGGAGGAAGGGGGGAAATATGTATATGTATGGACAGGCCCCAATATTTAACGTGTGTGTGTTTGTGTTCTATCACTCTGAGCTCATGCCTAGATCCTGGAGAGCAGACCCTCAACTGAAGGCTTGGGCCTTCAGTTGTTGCTGATAAATGCCAAATCAGCTAACAACCCCTATTTCTGACTTCTGTGAAGAAGAAGAAGAAGAAGAAGAAGAAGAAGAAGAAGAAGAAGAAGAAGAAGAAGAAGAAGAAGAAGAAGAAGAAGAAGAAGAAGAAGAAGAAGAAGAAGAAGAAGAAGAAGAAGAAGAAGAAGAAGAAGAAGAAGAAGAAGAAGAAGAAGAAGAAGAAGAAGAAGAAGAAGAAGAAGAAGAAGA